CCTTCTGTAATTCGGTATTCTAAGCATTTTATAGGTTATGGGCTCACCGAAACCTCCCCAACCACCCATCTGGTTCCTCCGGAAGCTGCCGTGAGCAAGATTGGAAGTATTGGAGTCCTGCTCCCTCGTCTCGAGGCGCGTCTAGTTGTGGATGGCGATGGCGACGGTGATATCGATGCTGCTGAGGGTGCACCTGGAGAAATTTGGATCAGAGGCCCTTCAGTCATGAAAGTAAGCTCGAATAGATGTCCGCGCTTTCGAGAATTACTTCTAAGCCCGTGGCTTTGAATTTCCAGGGTTACTTGAACAACACCGAAGCCACAAAGAATGCCATAACTCCTGACCAGTGGTTCAAGACGGGTGACATTGCGATCCGTGATAAAGACGGATTTTATTACATTGTGGATCGACGCAAGGAACTCATCAAATACAAGGGATTCCAAGGTTTGTTTTATACATTGGGGATATTTAGTCGTGAAACCGATTCAAATTACCTTCAGTGCCTCCTGCCGAGCTTGAGAGCGTGCTCCTCACACACCCGGACATCGCTGACACCGCTGTTATTGGCGTCGACAGCGCTAAAGAGGCCACAGAACTCCCTAGGTTCGCTTCCTTCTCTCTGGTATCTCCATACATCCGATTGACATCGTCTTCAGGGCCTATGTTGTTCCAGCGCACCCATTAAAGAGCGAAGCTGAGAAGGCAGCCTTCAGCAAGAACATTAAGGCATGGATACAGACCAAGGTCGCACGCCACAAGTTCTTGAGGGGAGGTTCGTGAAACCTGCTTGAATTTGAAAGAAGTCCTCTTACCTTCCGTCATTCAGGTGTCGTGGTCATTGACGCTATCCCAAAGAGGTACTTTGCTCCTTCGTTCATCCTTACTGCCCTGGCTCACATAGTTCCTTCAGTGCTGCCGGAAAGATCTTGCGTCGGGAGCTGCGCGACAAGGCCAAGGAGGAACTCGCTGGCAGAGATCCCTCGGACGATAACGTCCGGGCGAAATTGTGATTTATATCCATGGGAGAACACGAGTTATGGAGACAATTTAATGAATTATTATATGTACACCAATGGATGCATATTAGGCGCACATAAACAACACAGAAAACATTGTCTACGCGAACAGCTGGAGGGACCAACAAAATGAAATCTGATGGAGAGAATATTAATTAGCAAAGAGCTTCGAGGAGGAAGAGAGAGAAAGGAATAGGAAGATCAGGGGTGTCAAGTTCTGGAGCCCGCCCCCCATGACACTGTGGTACACGGGGGTATACACCATGAAGAAATTCAAAAAGAGCCAACACATCATACAAGAAGGAAGTATTAAAATGACCAAAGAGAGAAGAACAAATAGCTCACCATTGGCGAGGCCAACCAAGGAGGTTTTGGAACAACAAGGCTCCAGGGATGGAAAAAATAAGAGTGATGATCGAGAGTGAGCCCCATTGTGTTGAAAACTCCTGGAAGGAATTGACAATCGCATAACTGTCTCTATGAGCAACGAAGGACTTCTCATCGAGGCTACCAACGAGCAACGGACATGCTCATATCTTCGCACACCCGCGCCTTTGTCGAAGGAAACCCGTCTGAAAAAGTCACAGAGTGGATGGGATGGAGCACGGAACGATACGAAGTCCATTCCGTGCAAATCATTCCCTCCATCCTCGACCAATACCGTCGAGCTTAAAGGCGGTCGCTTTCCATAAAATAGTCGAGGACGTGCTCTGTATCTCCGGGGACTTTCCCCACAGCTGAAGATGAAAAGCGAAAAGCTTTTCTGTGCGCAAGCTGCGATAGCGATTCTTCGAACAACACTGGTTTACAAAAAAGAGTTGACCAAAAAAAAAATTGATGGGGGCGAGTTGAAGCGCCGCCCCAACGATCACAACCGTGGTTACGTAATGCGCGGCAGTGTTACCGCCTGTTCCGATCGCCTTTGACTCGTTATTGAACCACCATGTCCTCATCGGAACAGACACCTGCCCCCGCACAACAGAAGCAACAGCCAGCCAGAGTCCGCAAACCACCATTCTCTGATTGGCCGACAATAAAGATTCTCACCCCACCCCAGGGTATGTTCTCCTCGCGCGCGAATATGACGACAGCTGATGGAGATCTTGCTAATTACAGGCCGTTTCTCACCCAAGATTGACGAGTGGTGTTTCACCTATTGCTCACAAACCGTCAGTGGCAGAATACACAACAAGGAGCCCAACTGCCGCTCGATATGTTTACGCAAAGTGTTTCCCCATGAAGTGCGGAATGTGCTTTCGTTTAAACGCCACAACAATCTGGGGCCCGATGGAAAGGCCAAATATCCTCTGCCATCCGAAGGCCAATCCGCGAATCTTCCTCGTTACCTCGGTGGGTCACCTAAAGAGGCGTCTGAGGATCGAACGCCAACACCTCCTCCATCAACAAAGTTTTGGGATGAAGGATGGTATTTGTGGACAGGAAAGGGTCGATGGGCTGCTTTTCAAAAGACAGAAAACATGATCCTGGACTTCCAACACCAGCAACAACTGGAAACCATTCGTCGGGGGAGGAAGGAGGTATGGGAAAATTACGAGGACCAGCTGAAGCAAAATGTTGGTACTCAACCCAGCGAAGAGACGGCTCCACCATGGTGGCGGGGACCTATTGTTCTACCAAAAGCCCAGCAAGATGATGGGTGAGCATTCTATTGTCATCCATCTATCCCTTGATTTACATCGTTCTAGTGACCTCTCACTCTTGATTCCCCTGCCACCCGAGTTCCCACCTTTCTGGGATAGGATTAACAAGTTGCTTGCACCTACCCACCAGGCGCTAGGCATTTTACATGAAAGTCTGACATCTGGCGAACAATTACAATTCGCCCAGCGTGTCTGGGAGAAGGCCCAGACCGATGAGCCATTCGTGCTTGCCCAAAGAACATTCTCTCGCGTTTATGAACAATGGAAGAAGCGCGATGTGGCTGATGAAGACGATCCAAAGAAGGATTCAACATAGATAACACGGATACCAACTTTAATTCACACTCATTCCAGGGACGTCCGATCACAATAATTATCGTAAACTTGGCTTATTTAAATTGTTATACATTACACTGTGCATTATTCAAAATTGTATATTCATTCAACATCCAGTGCGATAAGAGCTCAGATTGAGAGGTGAGCCTCGAAATTCCTCCACTTCCCCTCTTTCCCAGGCTGTAGAATGCATTTTTTTGGTGGAAAAGGGGATGCCAGCCAATGCGCTTTCGTGGCTTGGTACAATCATTGCCGACAATTGTGTAGCCACTCATTTGGAAGAAGCGCTCAACGGCCGCGGCTCGGCCGAATTATAACGGCCGCAAAACACACCGACACGCGGAAACGAGTGGGAGATAAAATGTCTGACAATAGATATTCTACTGATGCTTTCAGCAAGGCAAGTCCGAACCGAGATCAAAACTGGTTACTGGGTACTGGGTACTTGGAATCCGAGAACAACTGGCTACAAATCCACTGGTTTAATACCGACGGCGACGGTACTCGCTAGGATCAATGTATCCTGCGAATAACGGGATGAAGTTCATCCTACGACTGACATTTCTATCGAGCGCCTTGTGGAACAACCTCAATTCTCCCTTGACCTCGTCGAGTTGGAAGCCGGGTTTTCCGGCACCAGCCATGAACTTCCTGCGAGCGAGATTCTTCGCGTCTTCCTGGGCGAAAAACGTTTTCGCGGAACGAGGGATCGACTCATGTTTGAGAGTTGCCATTTCCTTGTCTGTAAGGCCGTACGCGCTTTTGGCTAGAAAAAAGGTGTCGGTCCCTAGGAGCTTTCAGGCATTACGCGTCTTTCTCACCATCTGACTTGTATAATACCTGGAGGACACGCGTCAATCTTGAGAATTTTGAAGATAACGCGTGGAAACGCGACTCACCGTGGTTTTCAAGGGGAAACGAAACGCGTCGTTGGGGACCCATGGTACTAGAGTCGCTTCCCAGGTTTCTTTGGCCTTGCGAACCTTCTTGCGCTCTTCCTTCTCGAGCGCAGCAGCCTCCTTCTCCTCCGGTGTGAGGACCTTCTTGGGCTGACGGGGCTTTGCTGCTTTCGCCAACTTTGCAGCTGCTCCAGCCTCTTCGGCGTAACCACTGCACCTGTATTCCTTGCGACCGCGGTAGGGGGGCATTTTGCAGATGGGACGGTGTGGATGAGGATTCGAAGGTGGGGGTTGGAATGAAGGGGGAAAAATGCCGCGCATTTACTTTATATGCCTTTATTTGCTGTGTCAGGGTTCCGGTATCCAAAATGATTTCTGAGCGCTTGGACCAAGTCACCATGATATATCAGCCACTTCTAAGCTCTTGGGAGCATTAGAAAATTGGTGCGAGTGGCAGAATTGATCCGAGATAGGATTAAAGGTTAACTTTTTATAGATGTAGAGAATTATCTGCATCCCAGAGCTAAGTACCGCAAGAATTCCCAATGATCTTCAAATATCGTCCGGAAAGGTAAAAGCGCCCACAACTAGCCTGACTGGTGATCGACCCGCATCCGTACAATTCCTGGAGGTACAAGACATATTTATACAACCACTGGTAGGTCACCGATTCAAGTTTGGAGAGGCTGAGCTGAGCCAGACGGGGTATTCTACAATGTCCCGTTAATGATGGATCCGCTGCGTCCGCTGCTGAGCGACATGTATAATTACGTAAGCTCGGCCAAGTCAGTGAATCTTCAGCTCAGTTACTCAGTAGTAACTCCTGGTGCCTGCAGACCACCAGGAGGCACTTTAGGTCGAATTGACAAGTAAAATAAAAGCTGATGCAATGCGGACTGGCTTGAACTAGAGAAATTAGCACTGTCACTTGGGACTTGCTGATAAAATACCACTTCGGCTTGAGTTCGGCTGTACGTTTGCAGCCTGGAAACTCAAACCATCAAGATATAAGGCAAAACATTGAACAAAGAAGAAAAATATCTTGGAAGATAAGCAAGTATCTTGGATAGCAAAAGATCAACATTTATTGACAACGGTGAGGTTCGAACTCACGCCCTTTCGGACTGGATGGAAAGCTTCCCAATGGGTTACCTAATTCCAGCGCCTTAGACCACTCGGCCACGTTGCCTTGATGACTAGAAACCGTGTGGATGATAGTTATAACGAGGTGAAAGATAGATAATTCGGGATCAATTCATATTATTCTCAGTCTTCGACACTCATGATCGGCGCTCTCTAAACACGAATGCGATAACAATATCTCTGGCAATCTACAATTTCGCCCTAGATCCTAGAACAAGATGGGAGTGCACGGCTTGACCACATATCTACGCGAGAAAAAGCGAACCCTTTCCGTAACTACCGTCCTCTCATCTTCTTCAAACAATTCTCAAGTCCCTACTGTGGTGGATGGTTGGTCGTGAGTCTTAAACATCCTGCTATGTGCCACATCGTTGAGAGACACAAGCTTCATCTATGATTTGTACAACCACTCAAATCTTCCCTGGGTTTACGGAGGGGAGTACAACGAATTTGTGCAGTTGGTGAAAAAAGTTGTTGAATCCTGGATCAAGGTTGGGCTGCAGGTGTATTTCGTATTTGATGGTTTGTGCCTCTCTTTGAGATGGTTTCGGTTGAATTCCCATCTTACATGCGATTCCAGGTGCATGCCCCGATCTGAAGTTCCCGACAGTTATTTCCCGTCTAGGACAATCTCATGTGCACCCTGCGCAATTGTTCTTTCGAACATCAACTTCATCGCGATCTACTGGACGTTTCCTCAGCGAAAATCGCATATTACCTCCCCTTGCATACTCCGCTTGCATACACGCTCTGGAAACTCTTCGATCTCGTTTAGGAGGTGTCGGATTGGAACTCCATTTTGCTGATGAAGAAGGAGATCCATACGCCGTTGAATTGGCCGGAAGGCTTGGAGGCTACGTCGTAGGAAATGACTCTGATTTCGTAATTCTGAATTCGGATGGATACCGTGGTTATATTCCGCTGGATGAATTGGTATGGGTAACAGCTGTGGCCGAAGACCCAATACCTGTTAACAACGAGGATGGCGAATTTCAGACGGTTCGAAAACCAAAAGCAAAACGCAAGGTTCCACACAATGCCCAAAACCTAGGCGGCCTTTTACCCCCAGACGACACAGAGGATCTGACCCTAAACTTCGTCTCGTACAGTCCTCAGACATTGGCCACGCACCTGAAAATTCCAGTCAGCCTTTTACCTCTTTTCGGTGCCCTTGTCGGAAATGACTTTTCCAAAGAACTGGAATCAAATTCCCGAAAAGTCCAAGGATTGTTCTTCGAGAGGTCGCTTAGCCTTTCTCAACGAATCGATAAAGCCGCGAGCACCGTTTGCTCTGTTATGTCCCCCAACAATCAACGACGAAAACTTAAGCATCCAGTCGGTAGTGTCATGGATCTCATTGATCGGACCGTCAACGCCCTTTTGGCAAGGTTGGCCTCGACCATGGGTACGGGAGAAGTTGATGCCATTGTGGAGAAAATTGTCAACTCCGCCCTGCAGTATGCTATACCGAAGTATGGTGGAGACATTACAGGGCGAGAGGGACTCTGGCCTACAAGCGTTTGTGCGTTACACGATGCCGAGGCGTGTTCATTCCTTCCAATGATTTCCGCGAATGTCATGCGCCAAACCGAAAAGTCGGATCAAGCCGACCCCCACTTGCTTGAAGCCAGAGAAAAGTATCTGGATGCATCTCGAGGCGGTCTGTTTTCACCGAAGATGATGGATACTCTCAGTACAGGATCCTCGTGGGCCAGGATATTCCTTGAAAATCCGGATCTGGAAACCGTTGCGAGGAGTATCGGTCGGCCAATCCGAGAATGGATTTACACCATCCTAGACGACACTGTTGGTTTGCCAGTATCCGAGGTTGAGGCGCCTGATAGTACAAGAGGGAACGACGAAATCGAGGAAGAGAGCGACGACGACGAGCTGATTGATGTCGTAGAATCCGACTCAGATGACGAACTTGAAGTCGCACGTAGGAGGGATTATCTTGCACCTTTGAAAGGGGAGCTGCATCGTCTTCATTCTGACGAGATATCTGATAACGAAGGATCTCAAGACGATACTGCCACAGAGCCTCCCGCCTCCATCATCTCACACCGTCTTTTGCCGCAGGGTCCTAGAACAGTGACAGAATACCTTCGACGGGGAACACGGATAGCTTCGGATGTGGTCATCGTAAAGCCTCTAGCCGAGCTTCTATCCTCCATTTCTCTCCCCAAATACGCTGACGAGAACGCACCGCCGCTCGTTCTGAGATCTGAAGAGGAGAGGTTCACTTTATTCCTTCTATCATTAAAATCCGACCTTCCAGCAATCAGAAGTTTACCCTCCGAATGCATCCTTGCAATCCTGGCCGTACGCTGGGTGGTTCAAAGTCTTCATACCCGTTTGCAAGAATCGAACAGCAAGGAGCGAGAAAAGGAACGGTGGTCAAAAAATGAAGCACGGTGCCTCCTTGCCTCGTTCACATGGTCGTCCAACGAAACCGCTCCGCTAAACCTGGAGTCTCCGCCTCCCATCGAAGACCGAAATGTCCAGCTGATGGCCCAGATTTTGATGGCGCTCGACACCATTGAACAGCTTGCGCAGTGTCTTCTCCTCACAGACCGTGTCCCTAGCAATGCATACCAACTCTCTGGGCTGACTTTCCATGCTCTCTTGACGGGTAAGATATCTCCTCCATCGTCACTGCCATTGGGTATCTGGGAAGCAGTGGAAGTGGACTTGTTAGACTCGTTCCAAGAAGAACGTGTGAAGAAGTCAAGAAAGAGCCATGCCGAAAAACCTTTCGTGCCTTCACCAGCCAAGAAGAATATCCAGAAGAAGGGATTGTTCGCGATGTTGGGTGATATGGATGCCTAATCTTATGTAGATGTATTCCAGTTTGTGGACAATTAATGTACTCAAAAGTATATGTGTGTTTGAATATTTATGATTTGATTTGATCCTCTGTTACCCGCCAATGTATATGTTCTGATATTCCTCCGTCATGTTGTCTGTAACAATGCACATTATTGAAGCACCACCTATCCTGGCGTCGAGGATCTGATCTGTGCATAATTGCATAGCTTTGGGGAGGCGTTCGAATGCATTCGAAGCAGCCAAGAGAACGGAACAATGAAGGCCGAACGGATGCAATGTTCCTTCCTCACATGATTTTCTTTTCTTGAATATTGGTTCAACTTCGCGAATGCCGCAGGAGTGCCTTGCTCCGGAAGGTGGCGTTATACTGGAGCAAATTGTTGATGTCCCGCACCCAATCGTCTTCCTTTCCCGGCCTCGCCCCTTCGCTATGCAGCATGTGTTCGACATCTGTCGTTGTGATAATCGAGGATCTGTTGATGCAAGGAACGGGGAAAGGCGAGGCTTGGACGACTACAGATTCGCCGGGGTTGAGAACATGCGATGAGCGTCCATCCATGGATATTCCTGCTGGGGCCCGGCTGCGATCTCCTATCTATTTTTTTAAAAAAAAGAAAGAGGTGATTAGTCGGGATTGGGGATTGGGGCATGTGACATACTCGAAGTGTTATAATTGAGGACGAGGGAAACACGAGGGGTCGAAATGAAAGACTTCGAGGGCAGATGGGAGTCAAAACGAGTGCGCTAAGTGACGGGTGGACAATGGGGCCTCCAGCTGATAAAGAATATGCCGTTGAACCAGTAGGGGTAGATACAATGAGTCCGTCAGACTGGATTCGTTCTCAGCTATCGTAGGTCTAAAGATTGTTGTGGTGGTACGCACCACGGCCTCTGTGAGATGCTGCCCGTCGACGAAAATATCAATTGTATTTAGGTGGGGGCTGGAACCACGGTGAAGGGCAATCTCATTCATGACCTGCCAATCTAGATCCAAGTTAGCCAGTGGACTCCTAAAATGAAAGACAAGACTAACCATCGCCATCCTTGCTCTTCTTGGTTAAATTCTGATTGTAGAAAGTACATGCAAGGCGCATCCGGTGAAGGATTGTAGCTTTGCCTGTGAATACACTTTCCAATGCTTTGTCAAAGTCGTCAATGTCTAGTCAGAGAGATTAGTTTGGGTGTATTCTGCGTTCGGTCTACAACACTTACGAAAAGGAAGGAGGAACCCAAGGGTGCCCATAGAGAAGCTCAGGACTGGTGGAACAGCACCGGCACTGAATAACGAAGATGCATGAAGTATGGTTCCGTCTCCGCCTAGGGTAACAACGAGATCGATTTGCTCCGGACTTCCTGCCTCTTCGTTAATAGGGTCTCTAAATTAGTTCAAATACAACATACCTGGCCGCCAGATCTCGGCGCCATGGGGGATATCATCCCTGTCTTCGTGAAATACGCGCACTCCGGGATATGTTGTATGCACATGTCTGGAAAGCTCAAATTGGAATGTGGTGGCTAAAATGACTCATGAAATCATGCCGTACTCAAGGAATGCGTCTATGGCAAGAATAACGGGTTGGGTACGAAGCTTGTTGACGATGAGAATGTTCTTTGGGGGGCTCTCGATTATATGTCGACCGCTATCTTTGCACGGATGTTAATTGAGATAGGAGAGAGGACCATTGAGGACGAACGCTGGAGCAGGCTGTGGTGGGATACCGGTGGCCAGAGCTCTCCAAGGAGCTTGTTGTCTGTAGATATGCCTCCATGACGGCGGTGGCCGCGAGGCGAGGGAACGACGGATGGAGGCCAACATTTGACCTGGAATGATACGCCAGTGCTCGTGATCAAGTCTGGAGAAACAGCGCACACGTGACTGTTCCAATGTTTTCAACATCGTCGCGTCAGGTTCTTCGTCCTCCCTATTCCCGCAACCATCCTATCTCGACATCCCTTTACCTCAGAGTACGTATTTCTATTATTTATTTGGTTTCTTATTCGCTGACTGAGGTCCATGCACCGCAAAGTTTATGCACGCTCTTATTGACTTACTATGACTTCAGCCATAATTTCCGAGAGGCGAACGCGCTCTCAACTCACTTTACCCGATAATATCCTCCAGATTCCACAACGGTCTCCCCTCAAGGACGCAAGAACGGCTATGCGGAATCAGACGATCACGAGTGACGCAATGTCCGCCGACGACAGCGAGGACGA